TCCTGTCCCTACCTCTTCCTTTGTTTAGCAGGCGCTGTTATGTTGGGAAGAGATACATGACTGAAACCTGCAGTTGTAGGATGCAGCCACCCTGTTCGGTTAATTGTGCCAGACTCAGAGCTTAGACTATGCATTCACAGAATCACAGAATGGTTGAGGTTGGAAGGGACCTCTGGAGATCATCTCGTCCAACCCCCCTGCTCAAGCAGGGCACTCTAGAGCATATTTCCCAGAATCACGTCCAGGTGGGTTCTGAATAGCTCCAGGGAAGGAGACTCCACAACCTCCCTGGGCAGCCTGTGCCAGTGCTCAGTCACCCTCACAGCGAAGAAGTTTTTCCTCAGGTTCAGATGGAACTTCCTGTGTTTCAGTTTGTGCCCGTTGCCTCTTCTCCGTGGTGCCAAGTGACAGGACAAGAGACTGGCCTCATCCTCTCGACACCCCCCCTCCCCCTTCAGATACTTGTAGATGTTGATGAGATCGCTTCTCAGTCTTCTCTTCTCCAGGCTACACAGGCCCAGCAATCTCAGTCTTTCCGCATAGGAGAGATGCTCCAGTCCCCTCATCATCTTTGTAGCCCTCCGCTGGACTCTCTGCAGTAGTCTCTCTTGTACTGGGGACCCCAGAATTGGACACAGTACTCCAGGGGAGGCCTCACCAGGGCTGAGTAGAGGGGGAGGATGACCTCCCTCGACCTGCTGGCAATGCTCTGCCTAATGCAGCCCGGGATACCATTGGCCTTCTTGGCCACAAGGGCACATAGCTGGCTCGTGGTCAACTTGTTGTCCACCAGGACTCCCAGGTCCTTCTCCACAGAGCTGCTTTCCAGGAGGTCAACCCCCAGCCTGTCCTGGTGCATGGGGTTATTCCTCCCTATGCATTATTAAGCATTATCTTTTTGAACATCTGGTTCTGATTTGTCATGTGCATTCATACTGATTTGGAGTATTTCCTGAGCAGAGAAAGCTATTCTGTTCCTCTCATACAGTTCAAATGCAGTGGGGCAGTGTCAGAGGAGGGTCTTCCAAGTAAGTCCTAATGACTGTGGGAGGAAGTTGAGCAAAGGTGAGTATTGGAAAGTTACCTTAGATCCTAGCTGTTTATTCAGCTTAAATCTGTCTTACAGAACCATGTTCTGCTTTTTCTTGGCACTCCAAGGAGCAAAGGTCTGCCTAGTGGCAGTCTTGATACATGACTCAGAGGTTCAGACAGGATGTCCCTTGATTTTGAAAGCTATTTTTGCAGTGAGAACAGTTGTTTTAGTAGTGGGTGCAATTCATCTCATTCTGTTTAGGGTGGACCTTTCTCAAGCTCTTTCCAGCACTATTCATTTTTGCTATGGATGCAAAGTAGTTCTGCCCACTGTGAAGTATGGGAACTTTTCCTGTTGGATCTGCCATTACAAACAAACAATAAGAATCTGGCTGGTACACGGATGTCTACCGGTAAAGCTTTGAATCCCTATAAGGTAAAGCCCATTTCCCAAGCGAAATGAAATGGCTGTTTAATTCGCCCCTAAGTTGTTTGCTGATGCTGCATCCCCACAGCATTCAGTGCTGCAGAGCATGTACAGGCCTGGAGCATCCAGGCTTCTTCTGGCAGCGTCCAAGCCGGAGTACGTTTCTGGGTTTTGCTCCAGCCACTGAATTCCCATATGTACGTATAAAGGAGTCATCCAGTTTGTTTATCAGGCCTGACCTACAGTCAAGGTAGTGAGTAAATGTAAAAGCAGCATAGAAGAAATGATTCAGCTAAAGAGGCAAAAATAAGGAAGGGGCTTTTCTGAGAGACTCCATAGTTTCACTTCTCCAGTCAGCTGCTATTATATTTTTTGGATCAGTGAGGACTCTCGGGCAATCCCCAGGTCTTGATGTTCCCTGATGCTTAGTGTTGTATGACATTATCAGTCTCTTTTTAATGATCATATCACTTACCATCTTCCTGGATAGCTCCAGGGCACAATCTGCAGTGCATGGATTATACCATATTAAAGTGCATCCACGCTATTAAGACACCTGAGTGACAGGCAAAATCACAAAGGCATGAGAAAAACATAATGCTCAGAAGGGCCTCATTTAAGCAGCTTGTGTTAGTACTGGGTTTATGCAGCTGATCTCTTCTTCCTGCTATCTGCCTCTTAGCTATTCAGTGAATTAATATGCACTGGTACAGTACAGAGGTATGTTATATCTTCCTGTGCTGAAACACTGCCCAAACAGTAGCCACATGATAAAAATGGAGCCCTCTCTGCAGTTTGGCTGTTTTAATAAAAAACCAAACATTAAGGTTCCAATGCGAGAGGTAAAAATGTCAAGAAATGTCAGGGTCAGTGCATCCTTTCAAGATACCAGGTAAAAGTGGGATTAGCTGTTGCTAATGCTGCAGAGTCCTCAGTCTCTGGATGCATGCAATGGAGGGAATTCTGGAAGTCTTCTGTAGCTAACTGGAAATATGAGACAAGGTCGTCTTGACCCCAATGACTCCCCACTTTTGCTTCCTGTCTGGTGCCTTGTGTTATGTGGAACACTTCAGATGTACAGCTACAGATTCTGCTCTCTGTGGCATATAAAACAGGTCAATCTACTTGCTGAACAGAGCCCAACAAGCAAAATCTGCCTGGGCAATGTGGTGAATACGCCAGCACTGAATGTGCTGTCGCTCCAGTTCTCGAGCTGGCTTGGGCAGCTCTGCATGAGCTGATGAGCTGCTGTTACCTCATTGACTGCAGTGCGAAAAACATGCAGATGCTTTCCATGCTGGATATGAGCCTTAGAGCATCATAGTCATAAAACGTTCTGAAAATGTAAGTGATTGCATTGACCAGGCCCTGTGTGTTCAGCTATACCTCAAAAGGTATCCAGTTTTTAAGAGAGCACACTTTTAAAAAAAGTGACCTGAAATACCCTTTGATAAAGCCTCTGGAATATTTACAGGCAATATTGTGTTTTCAATTTTTAATACAGAGAGAAAGAGGAGGCTTCAGAAATTCCAGCCAAATGTGGAAGGAAAAAATGACTTTAAAAAAAAAAAAAAAAGAAGATGTGGGAAGAGAGCTTTTCATGACAAAATCTTTTTTTGAAGGTATTATAGTATTTGCAGTATTTGGAGCAATTTCATGAAGTAGCACAGTACTATATTTTGATTATTGGATCATTGAACACAGTGGATGGAAATAGGGATAGATATTTGGAGAGTGGGAAAGAGGGGAAGCCCCTTTAAAATGGGTTAATAATGATGTTACCAAAATCACTGCTATAGAGGTCCACTTAAGATCCATATTTTCTGAGTGTGTTACATCACGAACTCCTAGTTTTTGCTCAGTATTTACATATAGAGCCTCATATTTTTCCCTTATTGGCTTTCTCATAGTTACTTTCAGTGATCTGTGTGTATTTTCTATTAAAACTGTATTTGTATTATTTACAGATGCCTCTGTGTTATTCCCAAGAAGTTTTTCATGTTGACTTCTTTATTTGTTGTGGTTTATATGTTTGTCATCGGTGGCTATAGGTTTTCTTGAAATGACATTCCAATTTTAACACTGCAATATAATGTCTCTAGTAAAATGTTCATAAGCAAGAAATGCACTTTGATACTTTGAGCCTCAGAAAATGAACAGGAGGGAATGATAAATTAAAGGGCTCCTCAGAATTCAGGCAAAGTTTGGTGTTCTAAGGACTTGTTTCTGCCACCTTCGTTCACAATCAGCAGTCCATGCTTTTTAAGAGAGAATACTATTTCAGATAACTCAGGCTACTTGTCCAGCGAAAGACTGTGCAGTCTGAACAGGAATAGATGAATCTAAGAACCCGCTGTCTAGAAGTCTTCTGAAAAGGCCAGTTATTCTGTGAAAGAACCTAAAAATGAGAAATGGTGTTGCTTTTGTCATAGGCTGTTGGGTACGGGATGATTGTTCCCATTTGCCGGGTCTACCCTCTGAAATAAATCGATTTCTTTGTATTGGCTGTCAGTAACATGGTGAACTGGATGTGCAAATACCCACATGTTCTTGAGCAGAGATCCTGTAGCCTCTGCCAAATCTGTGCAGGGTCTATCTTCAGCTCGCACAGAGTTGGCAAAAGTGGGTGAATGCCCTAATGCCATCGGTTCCCTTTAATCTGAAAGGAATGAGATTGGTGCTGATGATTGAACATTTTGTCACCACTTGTTGAGAAGTGGATTTTGCTGACTACTGGTCAGCGCCTTTCTTGTTGACCTTTCTTTTCCTACTTCTGAACCTCTTTTTCATTTTAACAAGGATACTTTGCTCTACTCCTTCCTGCCTTTTTTTTTTTTTTTTTGCCTTTTTTTTGGTTAGCTCGTGCTTTCTCTTCAGGATATGGCTTTACCTGTGTGCATGCGTGCACATACATCCACATGTGTACAGACACAGAGTTTAAATAAACTGTGCAATTGACATCCTTCCAGTAAATACCTACAGACACTGTCATTTTCCTGTTTCCCACTCCCCTGGTCCCTGACCTCAGTGTTGCATGGTGTATTGTCAGTCCCTGAGTAATGAGAAGGCCAGTAGTGTCAAAGCAGCATGCTCACAAACTTTTATTTCGCCTTACACGAGCTGAGGTTTTACAAGTGTGTTCTGGACGGCTTATCCTCACAGCTCATAAAGGAGTGTATTTAAAGTGGTCGCACACTTTCAGAAACAAAGCGTCGCCCTCACCTCACTGATTACATAGCTTGAGTATGTGATAAGATGAGCAGATACAAAACTGTAGGCAGCAGAGTTGAGAGTTTGGAATAAGTAGAGAGGGAGTGGCCACCGCCTAGGGGCAGTGAGTCACTGTCAAGCAGCGCTCTGCACGCAGGAAGGCAACAGTAAGTCTTACGAAGAAATTTGAAGTGACTTCATAGATTTTCTTCATGGGAAGCTTATTCTTTGCAAACGGGAACTCATAAACAACACAAGGAAGGCGCTGGGTTGGCCAAGCACCAGCAGCCAGAGAGCAGTCCCTTAGCTTACCTGCCAGTCGCAAGCAGGGACCGATGCTGTGTGCTTTGAGAGACGTGTAATAGTAAGATATGGAGCGTGTTTGATGCGGTAGGAGAAGAGATAGATAGACAAGGGAGGCAAAGGAGGTGAAAATATAATAGAGGTGACAAGTCAGCATGATAATTTTTACTTCAACATTTTGAATGGTTTTGTGGAAAGAGAAAGTAGATTTTTTGACACTGGAGGGAGAAAGTTTCAGTTGTGGACATGTGAGACGATGAAGAGCTGAACTAGAGTTTTATCGAAGAAAAGGGGCTGGATTTTTAAGACTGTATTATGGAAGAATGAACACGATTTGTGTTGAACAGGTTGCTTGTTCTCTTCCCAGCTGTGCATTTTAAAGAGAATGCTGTTTTTTGCCATTCACAGGTTACTCCTCTTACAAAATTACTGAACATTTCCATGCCTGTCATTATTTAGAAATGGTTACAATTAAGCTGATCTAATTATTTTAGTTCCCTCTATTTTGGTTCCTCTTATTGTTTGAGTTAGTTCCTCTGCTAGAATCTGCAAGCTTTTGCAACTTCGGTTTTCCTCTTTATTCCCAATGTAACCATTATGTCAGCATAAAAGTCCTTCCAGCTTGCACAGTATTTTTCTGTAGTTTGATCTTATGCCATATGCACTGAAATCCTGTGAGAAGACTTTTTTTTTCCAGTAACTTAAAACTTTAAGATTGCCCAAACTGTGCTCCTCAATTTTTATTTTCTTGTTTATTTCTCTAGTAAAACAAAAGCTCATACAACTGCTAAGCTTTTTTAATCAACCGTTATCTAGCTCTCACTCATGTTAAAAGAAATACTTCCTTTGATATCAGTAAGGCTGATCTGAGTAAAAGTAAAGCCTTGATAATACCAAACTTTAAATATTTAAAAAAAAAAAAAAATGGCATGAGTGCAGACCAGTACTCATTAAGCCAAAATGGTAGGTCTGACAAACGGAGCTTTGCTAAAAAAATGAAATAAAATAAAAATCAGAATTTGTTGTGTTTCTCCAGCTAATATCCAGGTTTGCTTGAAAAAAAGTACACTCTGGAACCATGAGACCATTGCTTGAACTCTCAGCAGTCGAATGCTTATTTTACTATATTGCACAAAAGAGAAGGGTTGTTTGTTTTTTTTTTTTTTTTTGCAGTCTTTATTTAGCATATGCTGTAGTTGTATTTAATTCATCTTTATTATATGTATCCTACCATGAAAGAAATAACCCCTCTGGATTGAAAGCACAAGGGAGGTGGTAAGACCTGCTGCACCAGAGGGAGAAGAGCTAGCCAAAGGAACTGTAAGCGCTGGGAGCCTCTTCTCAGCACTGACTTCCTCCAGCCAAGACAAGAGTCAACAGCTAAGTTGTCTTAGGGAAGAAAGGTGTGATGCCTTTGGCTTTTGTTTGGTTTAGCAGTTTCTTTCCTGAACAAGATGAGAATAGAAGTCAAATCTGAACCAGGAATGAACCAAAAGGAACAGTAGATTCTTACATTGCTTTTTTTCCTAAGACGGAAAGGAAATTTTACAGGTGTTGCTGACGTTTTCATTGGCGAAAACTATAGATGTAGAAATACAGTGACTACAGGGGAAAAGGGAGCAATGTGGGGAAGGCACAAGGTATCACAAGGCAGCCTTGCCCCTCTTCTTGTTACAAAGCCTGAGACTGAGACCAAAGCACAATAATATAACACAACTCAGAAATATTTGATTGGACTGACACATGCTGATGTAGAAGTAAAGATAACATATAAGGGCATGCCTTCAAGCTATTGTTTGAAGTTTCTGTCTTGTCTTCACAAGACAATGCACATCTAGGGGACAGGAATAAAGCTGAAGCCGTGATTCCACAGTCGCTCTGTGCTGATATAAGCACAGGCTGCTGCCAAAAAAGCCAGTGCCGCCTATTTTGACAGCAGTCTGCCCTACATTTGCTCAGGGTAACCAAAGAATTATGGTGTCAGTTAATTTAGGCTTACTTGCTGGTAGAAATAAGCCATTACTCTTGTTCGCGTGTAAAAGGAGACATAGCCAGGCAGGCAACATTTTAAAATTTCCCTAGGTATATTAGATAATGTTTCTGGTCTGCTGGGTTTAATTCTTTAAAGAGCTTTCAAGGTGTTTGAAAGCTTCTGCACGCAATTTTAATGTAAACTTGATCATGAGCACCAACAAGCACAAGAGCAAGAAAGAGAGAGGAAAAACAAAGCTGACAGACTTTGTTGGGTGTAGGAGCCCCTCGCTAATAGAGGAGCTAACGCTAACGTGTTTGGGCTGCCTGTGAGGAGAGCAGTTTATCCCTGTCCTGAGAAGGGTGCGTTATAGCGTACTGGTTCATTGGATGCGCCAGCTCAGCCTCCCTCCGTTCCTTTTTCTGCTCTGGCACGTGGGGTGGCATCAAGGAGAGGAAGTCAGTCCTGTTGGCAACTTCACAGAAATGTCAGGAACCAGCTCTACGATATGAGGTTGGGCTTTGGTTGGGAACTACTAATGCACCTCTTCCTTTTTGCCTTGCCAAGAAGAGATCGTGAATGGATGGCAAATGGGTTGTCAACATGATGGCATGGGTGGAAGCAAAGTAAGTGCTCTATAGCTTATTCTGAGACTTCCTGCTCCTGGACCTGGAAGGAGGCGCAACTGGCACAGGCATATCCTGAACTGCTTTAATTCTCAGTAGGTTCCAGCCATCTGGTGGGCTCCCACCTTTCTTGATTTCTTGGTATAGACACTCTGCTTACAACCTTTCAAGGAATTAGGGATGCAGAGTCTCGGCTCCCAGAACCCCTGTCGTCTCTCAAGATAATATCCTGCCATTGCACTGCATCTAAAGGCCACTTCTTCAGGGACGTGGGACTGCCAGATCAGACACACAGACTTCAGAGAGGTGCAGAAACAAATTATATATAACAGCAGCAAGGTACAAATCTAGAGAAACCAGGTTTAAAAAAGGGAAGATTACCTGTATGTACTCCCCTGCATAAGTTTTCCTTCTACGCTTAGGGAATTCAATAGACTTAAACCAAACGGAGGAAAATTCTGTTTTTTCTATTTGTCTGTCACCTGCTCTTTCTTTCTTCTTGCTGTGTCCAGTCCTCTTTGACGGTATCACCTGACTGGCTTCTTCAGGCAAATGTAGCCCTCCAGCAGATGTGTTGCTTTGCGAACAGCCTTCCAACATACAAAACATTCAAATAATGTTAAGGCCAGAGACAAAGCTGTGTATAGCATCACTAATTATCCAATATATGCACAACTTTAACCTGCAGCTATTTGATTTGTATTCCCCCCTCTCTCTGCCGTTCCATTTTATGCATGTCTATATCCGTGTCAGATACTTTATTTTTTGTATCTGTCCAGCACACTTGTACAAGTGAGTATAGACATAATTCAGCATTTCTGTTGATGTATTCCCTTGCACTAAACGGGGCTGAGAATGGAAAACGGGCAAAATGAAATGAAACCAAGTGTGAGGCAGTCTGAGTAAAAGGCTGAAAGAGCAGAGCGCCTGCAGAATGTTTAATTCTGCTGGGTGATATCTGTCCTAACACAAAACTTTTCCTTTCCTGAGGGAGAAATAAAGCTTGAAAGAGTGGTGGGACAGTACCATTAGGCACAACACCATAAATGTAAGCTAAATGAGTCACCAACAAAGAAATTCAGGTCACTGGCTTTGAAGTCTGCCAATGCAATAGGCAGGAGAACTGTGCTTGCTTAGGTGTTCTCTAATAGTGGTGGCTGACTTGGTGAGATTTCGAACAGAAAAAAATACGTCAATTTTCTCCCTCTTTGGCTTTACTTTACAGCATGAAGTGATTATGTTTTTGCACCTACAAAGGAAAAGAAAACATTTTCATCCCTCTTTAAAATTCTCCTTTGTGATGATGCCTGAAAAAAACACTGATTGCAGGCCATGTACCATGGCTACTGCCTACCTTACTGATCTCTCCTGTCTCCTCACCATCTGTTAATTTCTGTTGTATAAAATGTGTGAAGCAGAGATTATCTGTGTACAAAACCTGGAAGAGTAAAGCTTTGATCTGTTAGCAGCTCTTATTATCAAACTCATTAATAGTAGCATGCCGTCCCTCGAGCAAAGTTTTCTGTGGAATAGTGTCCCAAGGGTCAGTTAGCATGCATATTCCCCACTGTCTAATGAAGGCTGATGCTTAACAGGTGTACAAGTAGTATTTCTCTTTTCTTCTTGACTACCTACTTTCATGACACATATTGCAAGATAATATAATAGAGACCTCTCTATCTGTGTCCAATTTAATTGCAGCTAGCCAGAGCTTCAGAATTACAAAGGAGGGGAGGAAAAAATTGCCAGAACAATGACTTATGTTTTGTCCTCAGTTTAGCCAAGCTAAAAATGGACTGCTTTAATTTTGGTTAAGGAAAAACAAAGCTGAGATGGTAGCATGGCAAGGAGCCTGCAGCGCTAGTGCAAAACTGGCTAGTCTAAAACTGGCCACAGAACAGCAATAAGGCTGGCTTACTGTTTTGTAGCTTTAACGCTCCCCTGGGGTTGTGGGGCTTTTTTTTCACGGGTGCTGTGAGGATGGCTGTTTGGAGACTTTTTAGTCTTGGGATGCAGGTACCTCTTCAGGTTTCCTGCACAGGATAGTATGTTTTCAGCAATGCATCTTTCTCGTAACAGAGGGGTATATAGGGAAGCAAACGCGTACAGACAGAGCCTACTGTTCTGTAAGTTCTGATGCAAGCCATTTCTCATTTGCTTCTTCATGTTAGATCATGTTTCTGGAATTCTTGTGCTTCATATGAAATCTTAAAGTATCCATAGCCAAATCTCTGATGAAAGTAACAGTCCTTACGAGAACCTGCTTCAGTCCATGCCAGTTGTCTGTCTTCATACTGAGTTCCCTTGGGAAAAAAATCTGGAGGAGGGAAAATGTGAGCTCACTATCATCTCCACTGTTTTTTCAGCTTCTCAATAACTGTTCTGTTAGAAGAGAATGATTTCACCAATTAAAAATATGACATTGTTGTTGAAGCATTTCCTTTGTTTCATGAGAATGTGATTCAGGTTCTTTGTGCAGAGATGGGAACAGAGTCACACTGCCTCTTATTCTACAATTCTGATATAAACGGTGGGCAGATAGTCCAGCTTTTTGTGTTTTCCAGCTGGCTAACCAGCAATGGGATAACCAATCAAGTAAAAAAAATAATAATAATTTTTATCTTTGTTAGATGGATTTGGGTTTGGTAGGGATTATATAGGGAGCACCTGAGCTTTCATTAGGTGTTCAGCAGCCACTGATATTCACATTTTATGCTCTGGATGAGAGAAGATTTCCCATTCGTCATCACTACTGCAGTGCTTCTGCTGACAGAGTGACTGCATCTCTTCTCCCTATGCAGTAGTGGTGCTGTATGCAACAACAGCAGCCAGCGGCACTGTAACATAAATGTGTTCAAAATAATTCTTTAATTTAATTACCTATAAAATTTATTCTATAAATGAGGGAGAAGGAATTCACTATTGCTTTCCCGAAGTGGATCAAATTTCAGTAATAATCCTGAAAATTCTTTTACCTTTGATTTAAAGAATGCAGGAAAGGCCGGGATAATCATTAAATCAGCTGTCAACTAGTAGAAAGATCTTAGTGCTGCAGCAAAGGTGCAGCGTTCTAATAAAAAATCTCAAGCTATTAGAATTTTCCATTATAAAAATAGAATGTCTGTTTGCCTTACAATTGTGATGTTCTCCTGTCTCATAGATTACAGACATGTGGAAATTAAATTTGTTGGAAAACGTAGAAGGCTTTATTTTAGGGCCTTCTCTTTTGGGAAGGTGAAAGAAAAAGACCATTTACCTTTTAAAGCTCCTAAAATTTGTTTCTAGTGCTTTTATATTGTGTCCTGGTACCTGACTTCTTTTTTCCCATTGGGAAAAAAAAAATGTTTCTGTAGTTCTTATCTTCTTCAAGTGCAGTATTCCTGCAGGAGCTAAAAAGGACTTGAAATCTGTACTTAGAGTACAGATTCTTCAATTTTCTCGATGTAGGGCTTTGGACCACAGTATTTTCTCTGAGCTCCTTTACCACAGATCCCCAAAGATCTGACCTATTCTGGGTTGGTTTCCAATTCTTTTTTTTTTGTTCATTTCTAACTATACCATGGAGATCATGGTCCTAAATTACTTAAGTAAACCTGCACAAAAGGTAGATCCTGTCAGGAGTCCAAGCCATGGAAATGGTATTCACTGGTAGTATCTGGGCACATGACTATTTCATAGGAAGGCAAGAAGGTAACACAGTCCCAAGCAGTTAAGAGGTCCTGTTGAGAAAAACGGCAGAAGTAAAGAATAGAGAAGCCGTTTGATGAATGTGTTTTCAGCTGCAATTTGCAGTACGAAATTCTCTCTCTGCATCTCTTTTTTTTGTAATACGTGTAATATGTGTGTGTGTGTGTGTGTGTGTGTGTGTGTTCACATTTGTAAGGTATTGGGCGAGGCAGTAATTGGTACATGGTGACTTGGCACTAATGAATAGTGGGATTCAGTAAATGGGCATGTAAAAAAGTATTTCCACCCCTTTGTGATTGGGGCAGCAAAGCCCTCTTTTTAATTAACAGAAAGAGGGCCTTTTTTAACAAACAATACAAACCACCCAGGTTCGACTGCTGTTCTGAATTACCTTTCAGCGAAACCTTCTTCTTCCTACTGAGAGATCAGCCTCCTGGTTTTAACGTCATGGTTAGGTCTCTACAACTGGGATATGCCAGGATAAACATCTGCAGAAACAGAGAGTTAGGTGTGTAAGCCTGTGCATGCTGAAACTAATTCTGAAAATCAGCTCTCCTGAAGCAGGCGTTTCTCTTTGTTAAGGTTATTTCACGCTTCACAGTTGAATACCTGAAACCACCTTTGAAAAGTCTTCTGTGTAGTAGTTGTTCACAGAAGACTGTTACAGAACTAGGTTATATCTAAACTGGAAGTCAGGCATGGTCCCAAGCTCACAGATTTGAGCACGCATCTAGTCATATCCCAGCTTATGTCAACTCAGAGAATGTGGATTTATAGTTTAGTTTCTGATGCAGTGTTTTTGGCAACATATGAGTTTATGATTCAGAAATAAGTTTGCGGATATTTTTAGTCTGACACAGCTTGATCTATGCTTGTAACTTCTCAAAGGAAATATAAATGTCTTTGTTGTTTAATATGAAGTTACTAGTCTGTTAAGCTTTCCCTTCACTGATTTTTTTTTTTTTTAACACAGGCCATTTCTTTTTATCCTTTCTGAATTTTCTGTTTGGAACAAAGAATCTCCACGTGCCTGACACTGGATTGTCATGGAGCTCGTTACCTCCGATGA